CCCCCCCCCCCCCCCCCCCCCCCCCCGTTTTTTTTTTTTCCTTTGTGCAGTGTGAAGTGTATCAGCACATAATAAAGAATAACTTTACTCTTAAAGTGCTCGTAGAGATATACAGGTGCACAATGACAAGCACAGGAATGGTGTTTAAATAGCAGCCCACAGCTTCATTTATAACCGTGTGCGTGAGAGTCTGAATTAGCAGAGTTCTCTGCAGGATGCAGAGCTTTCCTTTTGTAAGTGGTGTTTGGGAGAACACAAAGATCACAGTCTAGGAGGAATTATATCCAAGACAGGGTTATCCAAGGAAAGAACTGACTTCACCTTGTTCCAGACACTTCTGGCACATTCCTCCTAGTGCTAACAGTCTCCAGTGGCTACTTGTTATTTTGTATTTTGATTCAAACCTGACCCTGCCAGGTGAATCTTTGGCTGCATGCTATTTGGAACAGCTTTATAATGTGCTGTGGTTTGTTTTTTTCTTGGTCCTATGAAGAAGACAAAATGTCTGGTGTCAGCTTACTTGTGTTTTTCAGGAAAATTCCATTAAAACAGATAATCATACAGTGGTGTATCAGATCACAGAATTATTGAGGTTAGAAAAGACTTTAAGATCATCAAGTCCAACCATCAATCCAACACCACCATGCCCCCTAAACCATGTCCCGAAGTGCCACATCCACATGTTTTTTTGAATGCTTTTGAATACTTCTAGTGATGGTGACTCCACCACCTCCCTGGGCAGCCTGTTCCAATGTTTGACCACTCTCTCAGTAAAGAAATTTTTCCTAGTATCTGGTCTAAACCTCCCCTTGTGCAACTTGAGGCCATTTCCTCTCGTCCTATTGCTAGTTACTTGGGAGAAGAGACCAACACCCACCTCACCACAACTCCCTTTGAGGTAGTTGTAGAGAGTGATAAGGTCTCCCCTCAGCCTCCTCTTCTCCAGACTAAACAACCCCAGTTCCCTCAGCCGCTCCCCATAAGACTTGTGCTCCCAACCCCTCGCCAGCGTTGTTGCCCTTCTCTGGACACGCTCCAGCAACTCAGTGCCCTCCTTCTAGTGAGGGGCCCAAAACCGAACACAGCATTCGAGGTGCGGCCTCACCAGTGCCGAGTACAGGGGGACAACCACTTCCCTATTCCCGCTGGCCACACTATTTCTGATACAGGCCAGGATGCTGTTGGCCTTCTTGGCCACCTGGGCACACTGATGGCTCTTATTCAGCTGGCTGTCAGCCAGCACCCCCAGGTCCTTTTCTTCTGGGCAGTTCTCCAGCCGCTCCTCCCCAAGCCTGTACTGTTGCATGGGGTGGTTGTGACCGCAGTGCAGGACCTGGCACTTGGCCTTGTTAAACCTCATGCAGTTGACCTCGACAATTGTATAATGGTGTAGTATAACAGTTTGAGAAATGTTCAAAAGCTCCTCAAATTTAATTAAAATTATCATAATGTTTTTATTGATCTGTCTGAGAGGGTGCAAACAGGCTGGGATTTCTTCAGTGGAACTTCATGAAATGATTTAGTGCCCCATAAATATCTCCAGATTTTTTATAAAGAGTTCTGCCAGCCTAGGTCCTGGCAAGTCTGTATCATAAAATTGCTAATGACTACTCTCATGTTCATCTTTGGCCTAACTTAATCCTGTTGATAAATAACAGCTAGCTGCATTTCCATGTGTGGTGTCTTTATAATAGTGAGGATGTACATAAGGAAATAGGGTATAACTCAGCAAAGTTTCACTTACAATTCCAGGATTCTTCTTAATGCTATAAGCTGTTGTTGTAATCATGTGTTGTTGTAATTTCTGTTTGACTATTATGTGAAAGTAGAATAGCTGAAATATTTTCATCTTATTTTCCACAGTCACATTGTCCTGATGTTAGCAGATGATATGGCATGTAATCCCAGAAATCCCAGACCAGCTACCGTGTTTAGTCATAAAAACATGGAACTAAATGTCTATGGAGATGATGTGGAAGTGGATTACAGAAGCTATGAGGTGACCGTGCTTTAATTAAATCACTGGATCTTTGTTTTTAGTGTTGATTCAAAGATTTATACAACATCTTGGAGTCCAAGGAAGCCATTCTATTCACATTACTGGTTTTGGGCTGGGCTTTTATTATCAACTGATAGGTTTAAAACACACACCTCTCCTTCCTTTGATACTTGGTTTTGTATTTGAAATTTGTTATACTAGAAACATGTTGTGTATTGGCTATTTTAAATAATGGAATCTCCAAAAGAGTGCATGGAACTCCTTGTATGTGTTAGGAATACACACACATTACTGAAATTTCTCTTTGGAAATGGCTGGTCAGAGTCTCATCTTGCAAACACCACCACTGTGAAACTTCTAGAGTGTAAGTGAAATGTTTATTAGGGAGACACACTTAAATTTCTAATCTTAAGCATATGCTTTTATTAAAATAAATCAAAAGCCATACCTAATCGTTACTGTAAAGTAATTACTATATAGAAATCTGCATTCTGTCACCTTTCAATTTTTGTGTAGTATTCCTTCAGACAGTGTCTTTAACAGTTGATCTTAAACCATGCAATTGATGTCCAATTGAATAGTGCTATGTAATTGTTACTGGAGGTTTCTATGAGCATATTTAAGTTTGTAGTAGATATTTTATTTCTCTGAAGCTTTGTATAGTGAAGTGAAGATAAAGCACTGAAACAGAGATACGTTCTTTTTATCATATATTTTCCTGTGTATGAATTTGTTGCTAGCATTTGAGCTGTGTACATCTGCATGATGGGGAGGTGATGTTTTATAGGATGTTTTACAATAACCATCAGATGGGTCTTGGCTGATCACTCAGACTTATGGAACCAAAATTAATCTGTTTTTCCTTTCCTGAGTTGCAGAGAGAATTTAAACTTTTACTTTTCCTTTGTAACACACACTAATGTTGGAGCATTTTGTGAGTACGTAAGCAGCTTTGGCAGAATAAAGCTATATGCTGACAGGTTTTCAGATCAATGAAAATGTATTTAGAAATTATAATGGTAGTAGATTTATTTGATGTAATACAGCAACAGGCTGATGTTAGTGGGATGAAGTAAAAGGTATCATATAATTGTGAACCTGCAGTAAAACCTTAAACAGAAAAAGTCTGTTTATGCAGTTTATACCATGCAATATTACTCCTGGTTAGATAGACTGCATATTTTAGTGTTCCATTATTTAATTTATGTAACCCAACCCAGAGTTGTTAATCAATATTTTTCTCTTTAGAAAATTACTTCATGCTTCTATTCATAGGTTACTGTTGAAAATTTCTTGCGTGTATTAACAGGAAGAATCCCACCAAGCACACCACGATCTAAACGTCTGCTTTCTGATGACAGAAGCAATATTCTAATATATATGACAGGTAATTACAGGTTTCTGTATACAATATACTGATGTTTGTTGTTCAGTTGGATAGGCCTGTTTGAAAGCCTGAAATCCCATCAGGAGTCCACACAAACATAAGGATCAACAAAAGGATTTTTTTTTCTTTTTTTAGTATGTCACACTAATTAAGAAAAAACCTCGAAGGCAGTACTTGTAAATTATCGTTTCCAGTTTAAATGATGTATGTGTACTATTCTTACTATACTAATATTTTCTTCTGCTGGAATCTGTTTGGAGAAAGAGAATTGTGTTTGCCTTTTTTTAGAAAAATGGTCAACCGAGCTGAGTATCTTCCTTTAACCTACATGCTTACCTAACTTCCGACTTTTCTGTCAGGCCATGGTGGGAATGGTTTCCTAAAGTTTCAAGATTCTGAAGAAATCACAAACGTGGAACTTGCTGATGCCTTTGAACAAATGTGGCAGAAAAGAAGGTAAGAAAAAAAGCATTTAGAGGTTAAATAGTGTATTTCACAAATGTGCATGAAGTCTTACCAGGAGGCCTTGTTTACCTTCATCAGTGATACTACCTGTTGTCTATAAAATTCATGCAAGTTTGCATTCAGAAAGAAGGTTTTTAATTTTTGTTTTCAGCTTCCTGCAGTTACAGATGCTCAAATGTATTGCTTTGACTAAACTTGCATTGTACAATCAATCAGCGTAACCTCTTCTGTTCCTTCGGCTTCTAGAAGCTGTCCTGGTAACTAAAAAGCAATGTATATTTTGTTTCAATTGAAGAGAAATTGGTAAGGAGGCTGTTTTGTTTCTTTCAGATACAATGAATTGTTGTTTATTATTGATACTTGTCAAGGAGCATCAATGTATGAACGATTTTATTCACCTAATATAATGGCCTTGGCTAGCAGCCAAGTTGGAGAAGATTCTTTATCAGTAAGTAGATTTTTGTGATCCTGAAGACAGTTTTTAGAATGCCTGAGTTAAAAGCACAGGTCCTATTGACTTTTAACTAAAAATTTTCCTTCTAATTGCTGAATATGTGAGGTATTTAGTTACAAAGTGTAGTTTTGACAAAACTTATAAGTGTACTTTTCCTGCTTGTTTTTGTGCTGTCCCAAAGAATCAGGCTAACAATGGATTTCTGTGCTTGCCTGCCAATTTATGCATTGCCTAGGATAGGAAGAAATTTTGTGGGAAGACTACTGAGAGATATGTATGGAGAATATTCAATCTAGGACTTCTTATACTTCATATAAAAAAAAAAAACAAACCCCACCACACTACTTTTCACCTGCTGTCATTATATTACAGCTGAATTACAGAAGGAGTGATAGGAGAGACATCCTAGCCAGACCAAAATCAGCAGATCAGGATTACCTGAGCCCGCACGGTGCTGTAAACTAAGCTGTCTCTCCTAGCCCTGTTTTCCAAGTCCTAAGAAGCTTGGGGCAGCTCACAGATCTGTACTGTACCATTAAGAAGAAGGGGTTCCCTGCTTTTTGGCAAACCTGGAGATTACCAGGATATAATCTAGAAAAATGAAGATAATCTGTATTATTCATCTTGTCAACAGTATGTTTCTCTGTGGCTAGTCATTTTCTTTGTGAAGTTTGCCTAAGAAAAAGAAAACTTTATGCTTAGCTTTGGTAACATGCTGTTAAATTTTGTCCCTCTCCTAAGTACTGAGTTCTCTCCTGCAAATGCCCAATAACTGCTGTGTGTTTTTAAGCATCAACCTGATCTTGGGATTGGTGTTCATCTTATGGACAGATACACATTCTATGTGCTAGAGTTCTTGGAAGAAATTCATCCAGCCAGTCAGACAAATATGAATGACCTGGTAAGTAGAATATTCAACATTCATGAATATGCTAATGAGTTTAACAGTTTCAAAACTAATTTATTTTGTCTGTAGCATTCTCCAAATGCTTTTTGTTGTCCTGCTGTTTCTCTCGGAAGCAGCTTTGGGGGGAGGGTGCTTTTGCCATTACTAAATGTAGTCATAGTGTAACACTTAAAGGTCCTCAGTTTGAAAAAATTAACCAAAATTAGGCAGATTTTTTTATTAATTGAAAAATGAATAAAGTATTCATTAAATATTCATTTCAATAGAATGAAGTATTTGCATGTGAAAAAGAATAGTAGGAAGTTTCTAAAATCAGCTTAATGGATAGCACCTGCTTTGCAGGTGTAGAAAGGCAGCCATTGGTACTGTTTTGCAAAGGTGATTAAACAGTTAAAATTCTAATAGTTCACTCACAAATGCCTGCAGAGACTGATTTCTCTGTATATCTGCTTAGATTCCAGAGCAAGATATGTCCAAATCCATCAGTATTTGGAGTTAATTATATCTTAGGTAAATACTAATTGTAGCTTTCAGATATGAGGCAGGAGGAAAAAAAAACCCCAACAAACAGATAATCTATGACAAAATTTATGAAAAGGCCTCTATAACAGTTACATGTATACACTGTTGAGATGACATAAAAAGTAACCATATTTTATTTACTCCGTTAACCCTTTACACCTGTTCCAGTACTAGTGTCATTGTAGTAATACATTATGCTTTGGTGCCTTGTAGCTATAAATCCTGACATGCTGCTGTGTCAGTGATCTAAGAGCCACCACTTACAGAACATACTGTCTTTGATTTCTTTTCTGTAAAAGGAGCAGCTGCTCAAAAGTTTTATGCAACCCTCTGCCCACCTGGCTGCTAGATGTGTAGTACAATTCACTCTAAACAGCCCACACTTGACACATTTTATGTTGATACAGAATTGATTCAGTGACTAAGATTCAAGGTTCTTTTACTGCCTTCTAAATTCTGTCCTGTAGTTTAATACCTTCGGATTATGGGATACAGATAACTTCAAAATTAATCTTGTTAAAGAAGAATATGCAGGTTCTTTATTGATTAAGTATCTTCTGTCCAGTTCATTTGAACAGATCTTTAGAACTATTCTGTAAACCAGAAAATGAGTTGATGTTAAAAAAACAAAAGCCTAATAAAAAATGAACAGTGGTTTCTACAGTATAAGACACCATCTGGGGAGAGGTATAACTGGTCTAGTCAGCTAGATACCAATCCAGCTGTTGTGAAAAGTATAGAAAATTTGTTAGCTGGACAAGTAGTTTACCTTTTGACCTCTTTGCAGAAGATAGCTAAACTTTCTCTTTCACGTTTTTGTTTTTGCTCATATGCCAAATACTCTGGTAGAACTGCGGGAAGTTATCCCATATTGGTAAATTCCTTACGTCATGTAAGACATCTTATCAACGTCAACTTGCTTATTGTTGCTCTGGGAAGAGAATAGACCCAAATATATTATGATTTGTGATGATCATGTACTGAGTCATAATATGCACATATTTCAGCAAACGTGACCTCTTGATTTTGAGTCGGTGCTTTTCAGGCCTTCGTTGAAGAGTTCCAAAATGACATATGGTTAGTCCGTGGTAAGGGTATAAGCCCATTTATTTGCCAACAGTTATAGGGGATACTTTGGCACTGGAATGCACTGTTAGTGTTGTGCTGGTTTAAGAACAAAAACCTACTGCTTATCCAAGTCTGATTTTTTAAAATGAACGCTTTCCAAACTCAGGATAACATATTAAGTGGCTCACTAACTAGCTTTAAAATTATTAGCTAATGTTTAGTTATCTGATCTTCTATGTCAAATGTCTGCTCTTTTTGAAGTACTGTGTATTTGTTAACACCACTTCTGTCGCATCACCTTTTTACTTTTCTCCAACCATTCTTAGAACAGCTTCTCTTCACATTCACCTAAGATTTGGGTATTGCATTCCTGTAAAGAATGAGACCATCTTTTTTCATAATCCACTCCACCTACTCCCCACCTGGTCCATCTGTGTTGCTAAGGGATAGCATAAAGCTGTGCAAATGACTGACTTGTGGTTTGATCACAATTCCAAAAAAGTAAAGACTAAATTGAAATGTCACACATTTGAACTTTTAAAATAAGATTCAAATACATTTCTAAATAAGATATTATTTGTCATAAAATAGCTAAAAATGTTGTTAAGAAAAGTCAAGTTAACAAAGTTCCCATTCTGGGGAATTACTTAGCTTTATTTGAATAGTATCTTACTTTAAAAAATTTTGAAAAATTGACATATGAACAACTGTGTCTCATTTAGCTAGCATTTGCTTTTTCTTTTTTGTTGGAAGACCTTGGTTATTACTGTTGGTCTGGTGTGGTGTAACTGCTTTGCAGTCTTTCTTGTCTCACACTGATGCTGCATAGGTAAGATTTTTAATACTGAAGTCATCTTCTGAGTGCCATTGCACATTGTTATTCAAGATTCATCTTAACATCTTAGGTACTAAATTATTGTGGGACAGGTTAGAAGTAGTTAGGTGCAGTATCAATTTTCCACTTTCAGTGCTGATGCAGTTGTTTTGGGACACTTACACTCTTTTGAGGGCTTGGAAGAGAGACTTAATATATTAATATAATAGTATAACTGTAGCATAGATTTATGGACCAAATAGTGGGATTAAAACAATTTCTTGGCTTTTATAGCTTACTTCAGAGACTTAGTTTTTTTGTTTGTGCCCTTAGTTGGACCAAAGTTGAAAATTGATTGCATTTTGGTGAAACTGAAACTTAAAAGGGTTTGTGTGCATTGACCAAAGTGGCTTTGTGTGGGAAGCGTGATGCTGATCAGTCTAGTTCATTTTCACTTCCCTGGGAGGATAATGGAAAGATTTGATCTGCCCCTGTCTTCTCTTTAGCAGCTCTATGATACTCTGCCAAGAAGAGAGTTGGGAATCGTTAAAAAAGAGCTCAGTGCATATGTGTGCTTGTATGCTTCAGTCAAGGTTAAGCTGAAAGTGAGCTGAAGTCTCCCTGGACCAGCAGTCTAATGCCATATGCTTACACGCTTAGACAAAAAAAGGTGTGAAAGAGTATGAAAGAGAAAGTGTAATGGAACAGAAAGGAGGAATGGGGAGATAGAATCTGTCCTCTGTGAAGAAAAGCCAGGTTTCCTCTCTGGGAAACTTTAAATGAAGGGCTCTCTTGCCCTAAGAGAAGGAGCCACACAAGCCTGTGCATTTTGTGTCAGGCTGAGCAAATTTCTGCTAGGAAGTATGGACTGAAACTCACAGGTTTTGTCAGTCATAATCTGGGATAATTGAGGTTGCATCTGCATTGAGCTAATTAGGACCTGTGATTTTGTCCTAAGAATGCAGCCTTCTAAGAGCTGACCCGTGATGTTATTGGGTATATGCGCTCTAGATCCAGTGACTGATGGACCTGTTTGTGAAAATCACTTGGAGAACTTAAGGAAGATGAGCACCCATGTGGAGAGTGTCCTTCATAGTCCTGTACATTAATCTGTTCTGTTAAATGTTCTGTGTTGCTGGAATACACAAAGACTTGCATAACCTGCACCATTACCAGGTGGTCTTGCAGGCTGTCCGTGAGACAGTTGAATGGACAGCAGCATTTGCTTACGAAACTGTCCAGAGCACTGCAGAGCTAATGCCTCTATCTAGCAGGATTGTGTGTCTGGCTCTTGTGTCTAGTAGGGTTGTGTGTTTGGTTTGTGAAGTGCCTTCTAATGATTGAGTCGTGAACTCAGCTTTCCAAACTCATCAAGGAGGCTAGAAACAGTGAGGCCTTGGGCTGCATTTCATGGCACTTTAAGCTATGTAGCATTATTAATAAAAAACCAAACCAATTATTATTTAAGATGTTACATTATGTGCATTACAAGATCCCTTGAAATAAGCAATTTGTCTAGAAGGGAAATACCAGAGATTTTTGCTGCAAGTGTGGTAGGACTTGTGCAAAAAGGCATTGTTTCCAAAATGTATTGGTTTTGCCTTGAATACCTGCTGGGTACATACAATCTTGTTACCTAATAGGCATGCTGTCTTGTCAGATATTCTAAATGCCACAAGAAATCTGCCAGTGTTATGTCTACTTATTTTCTGCAAATGTGTCTTTATTCAGAATTGAGTCCATTGAAAACAGTTTGTTAGTGCTATTCTTGTCTTCCAGGTTTTGCAATGTGTGCTGGATGTAGTGGATCTGGTATGTAGGCAAAATATCTCGGTAAAATAAATAATAAGGTGTATAGCTAGTTTGTAGGTTTTACAGGATATGTCTGTGAACTTAATGTACATAAAACGTCTCTGCTATTTGAAGATCCAAATTCTGTGTTAATTTGCAGGCTATAAGCTAGAAATAAAAGATTTTTTTCTTTTCAATCAAAATGTGAATTTTTGCTTCTTTATGAAGCCTCAGCTATTAGCTGCTTATCAAGGCTTGTTTACTCTTGCCTGCCTCCCTTTGGTAAATAGGAAGAATTTATACCCACTTGTGCTTTTTGGAAGGTTACAGCAGCATTGCTGCATCTGTATTCAGAAACACATTTGTGCATTTAATCAATTAGATGTAATTGATGGTTGGCTTTCACAGAAGCATTTCTAAACTCAAATGGCAGAGTTGTGAGGATGAAGGCTTTCTGAAATGCATAATCGAGATGTTTGTTCCTTTTAATGTTTTTGTTCAAACTTTTTTTTCAGCTGTGGAGCTTGTATTGAAATTCATGCAAGTTACATGTGGCATTTATCTTTCTTTTTATAGCGATTTCGTTTTGGAAGGTGTATGTAGAAACCATTGATGAATGAGGAACAGGATTTGATTGTCCATCTTGGTTTACAGTTTCAGGTCTGTCCAAAAAGTTTGTGCGTTTCCACGCCCGGGCACCGAACTGATCTCTTCCAGCGAGACCCACAAAATGTTCTGATAACAGACTTCTTTGGCAGTGTGAGAAAGGTGGAAATTACGACAGAGACAATTTCTCTGGACAGTGTCTTAGCTGGTTTTGAAAGCAAGTAAGTAGTCATTATTTAGACTTGATTTGTACAGCTCTGTGCCACAGAAACGAAAGAGTCGTATAACCATCAAGGAAAGAAGAACTCTCAATTTCCTGTCATTTTTTACAAAGAATGAGGGAGTTAGTATGGACCTGCTACTACTGATAAAGTTGTGGCTTGTCAGCTGAAAACTTTGTTTAAAAATGCTCACCCCTTTATTCAGTCTTGTAAATAAATACAGCTAAAGACCAAGGTGTGGATGTCAACAACAAAAAAACCAGCCTAAAGCTTTCTTTCTTCCTTAACATTTCTTCTTTAATGTGAAGATACATTTTGTTACTGTAAATTCCTGCTTGTAGTAGTTTATTCCCTCAGATAAGCTCTGAGTATAAGCCATCAGTTAGTTGTTTCATAACAATTAGCTTTTAAATAAATGCTTTGTTTCTGTTCTGTAAATTCTCTGGCTTTTGACATTAACTGTCCTGAGAATTTTGGTTGCTGAGATGCAACGATTAATTTGAACAAAATTGCTGGTGCAAGTTCATTGATAGAAGTTGTAGCAGGGCTTCTGTTACTTTGTGGGTGAAGAAAGAATTATAAACTACTTTGTATTTTTGGTATTCTGTTGCCACCTATTGGGAACATGTAAAGGAAGATGTGCTTGTACTGTAGAGTTTATTTAGCATTATACTTGCATTTCTGTTGCACCTTTTATGTTTCATGATACTGTTCTCTAGGAGGGGATAAAAAAAAAGCATGATTGAAATAGTCGGCTATACTAGGGATGAAATATTTTTCAACACATAAATTTATGTAAATTATTGCCTACCTTATTTACTGTTGCTGAAATCAAAGAACAAGTTAGCGGATAGCAGTTTTATTATTTTTAAAGTAGTCAGAGGAGGTTTAGACAGGACATTAGGAAGCATTTCTTTACAAAGAGGGTGGTCAGGCACTGGAACAGGCTTCCTAGAGAGGTGGTCAATGCCCCAAGCCTGTCAGTGTTTAAGATGCATTTGGACAATGCCCTTAACAACATGCTTTAACTTTTGGTCAGCCCTGAATTGGTCAGGCGATTGGACTCAATGATAGTTGTAGGTCCCTTCCAACTGAAATAGTCTATTCTGTTCTAAACATTACAGTAACTCTGATCCTTATAATTAAAAATATCCTATGCAGTTTACTGTATTTCATATTTTATTTTCATACTGTACTTTCATCTGTATCATGCGCGTTAGTACTAACCATATATATCCTAAGCTAATTTTGTGACTTCTTAGTTTAGAATAGTATTTAGTGACACTAAATTTGTTTTTCCTCTGAAGAATAAAAAAGCTTTTGGCAAATAACAGACATTTTGCCAGTCAATAACCATGATGGGAATTTAACCTATGTGGATTTCTAATTTGCAGACAATTAAAAGGAGAAATGGGTTTTGGATGACTACTATTCTTAAACAGGAAATGACTGGTTGGGATTTTCAGCTTTTATTTTTAAGTTAGTTTCGTGCCAATATGCGAGGGTTTTTTTTAGGTATCAGACACGCTACTGAATTGGACACATGGAAGCAATACTTTGAAATGGGCGCTCATGCACAGAGAGGAATATTATCCTTGTGAAGTGTTCTGATATTTAATGAAAACTGTGTTACATTATCATGGCAATTCTGGTTAACTTAAATCTGTGAAATTGGAAGGGATGGGAACATGCTGGTTTAATAGCTAAATAGTTCTCCCTTAGCTTGAGAGAGTTTTTGAGATCGTATATGCCTAGCAATGGAAGCACAGAGCAGCAGCAGCTTATGGAAACTGCCTCACGTATGTAATGTGTATGACCATTTTTAAGTGGTCTCGTGTAAAACAGTAAGTTATTCATTGTAATATAGTCAGATACAATTTTCCAAAAAAGTACTCCAGTTCTCAGTTTCTTGTTACCATTTCGGAAGAGTTTATAGAGAGTGTGTTTTTAATAGAGAAGAAAGTATGGACTTTGTAGAAAAGTGCTGGAAAAATGTAGTATAGCTATATAGATAGTAATGTGGAGTGCTTAATAAATCCCTTAGACAGAATTCTGAGGTCAGTACCTCTTGGTATGACAAAGATTTGTTTCGCTACAACAAATTTAAGAATTGTAGCTTGGAACAAATTTATTTAATAAAAACATTAATGCTTTTTAGAAATGCAGTTTTGGAGGGTTTGCTCTGCAAGAATTAAGTTACTCTGGTTTTATTTAAAGAATACTGTAAGTGTTACACACATCTATTTCTGAGGGTGTTAAGAAGTCAGAACACTTCACAAATGATATTATCTTTGCATAGATACTACCCAGATTGTCCCAAATTGGTATAAGAACGACCCTTGAATGAAAGAATGTGAGTGCATTTTCTTAACCTTCTCAGAGTTAGTTAAAGCGTTCTGTGCCTTTTGGGAATGTGATTGCTGTTGACGCCCCAGATTGTACTCTGAAAGAGGGGGATAGCACAGCCTGGTTTATGTATTATTGAGACACATCTAAACCAAGCGTATTAAAAATCAATAATCCTTCCAAATTAGTAATGATTAATCTTGTTCATACCTAATATTGTTTTAAAAGCCTTTGTGAAGAGGAAGAAAGTAATGTAGAATTGAATTTTTGCCCCTTAAGGGTTTGCAGGAATTATCAGGAAGTATCTGATAGATCACAAAAATACACCACTAATACAAATTTTGATGTATAACATTGGTTACTGAGTGTGCAGATCTTTTTTTATTCTGACAATGTATGCAGAATCTTAAGTCTTTTTTCTGTATTGCATTTGAGTTACTGCATTTTTTTTTCCCCCCTAAAAGATGATTTGCAGAGGTTTTATTGGTTTAATGTTTGTTACAGTCTCTTGACTTCACTCGTTTATGAATCACTTCCTCTTTGTTTTATTACTTCCTCACTGTTAGACTGACACCTTTTTCCTCTTCCTTTTGCACACTGGTGGCAGTAGAATGCTACAGAATATTTGTGTTACGGAGCGTAACCAGCAAATGAAATGCAGACCTCAACTCTGACGCAGTCTTAAGTAGTCCATGTTAGATCTGATTTGTTTGTTTTGAAGTTGCAAGTGTCATATGTGCAGATAAGGGCATTAAAAAACAAACAAACAAAGGCAATAAACCACTAATTACATAGATAATGGTAAAGAAGATGCCGTCACATGAGGCATGAACATGTATTGGGATGGTACTGCTGGCAGACTATTCAAGTTTTCATCTAACCCACTGCTGTGACTTTGCCAAATCTTTTCAACAGAAGTTTGTTCTTTTGTTACACAATTGCTTAGCAATTACTTCGTAATACTGATCCACTCCAAAGCTCAGCGTGAGCTATAGCAGTGCAACCAGATCAGAACCAGCCAGTTTCATGTTGAGCACAAACCATGACATTTGACAAGTGAGGCCTTTGAAGTTTCCTTTGGCTTTGGCTGAGACTTGTACAAAGAACAACTACTAATTAACCAAAAGAAGAGGCTTGCTTTCTATCCGCATAGTAGTAGGTGAATATTTCTGAGTAAAAGCTTTAAAAAAAAAAAAAGAAAAAGAAGAATCCTCTGCTGTTTCCTTTCTTCATAGCAGTTTCAGTCTAAGCTATGTTCACTTCAAAGGGCTTGTTCTGCAGCTGCCGCAGTCCTGACTGAGTTTGTAGCTGCCAATTTTATCAGAAAACCTGACAGTCTAGGGGTTCTGGGGCTTCAGCTGATTATATTTTGTCTAAATCACCATGAAAAAGCAAAAAGTAAACATTAAGGAGTAGACGAAATCCTGCATCTTTGGAGAAGGAGCCTTGCAGAGTTTAGTACATCTAATAAATTAGGAGTGAGTCGTCTTAAACTTGGATTGTAACTCTACAGCCAGTTGGAACACTTTCTCCTTTTCAGCTCCTAGCATGAGGAAAAGGTATGTATCAGCAGAAAGTGTTGGTAAAAATTGGGATGAATATTTCTCTTGAGGGTAGTAAGAAGTCAATTAAAGACAGCATCATATAAAACCATCCTACTTTCATTGCTTTTGAGAATTGGGCTTCATATTTAATACTTCTGTTAAGAAGAATTGTGGTACTACTGGCAGTGACTATTTTCCTAAAAATAAAGAAATTGGCTGCTTGTGTTAGGAAAGATGCTTGTGTAACAGAATAATTATGAGTAGTTGGTTCATTTGCAGTATGTAATAGCTAATGTCCCCGCAATTCTTTTTTTTTGTGTGTGTTAGGGTGTCTCTTCCATCTCTTTCCTGTCCTTACTTCTTTTCCATCAGTTATTTTCAGTTTGATGTGCTTAATAAGTAAGGCTGCTGTTGTGTGTTCCTGAATCCATGGGGATCGAGTTTGTGGACCAATAGGTGCTTTTTTTTTTTTTTGGCTAGTAGATGCTGTTCAGCTCAGTGGGCTTTTCTTAAAATAAAAATGGCTGGATTTGTTCCGAGATCACTGTTCATTTTTTACCAGATGCCTCAGATTAGTAAAAGTATAGTTTTATAAATTATTTTTAGGACTAGTTCTGAAAGCTCTTGTTCTCCGAGAAATTCCTAGTTCTCATTTGCGTCCTGATTTGCTGTTTATGTCAGTCATAGATTTAAGTTAGCTGCCCTCTCCCCCCCCCCCGCCTTGTATTTTCTACCTATCTTTTATGCGGAGACTGTTAAGGGTAAAAGCCGCTGTATTGATTCAGGTGACAGCACGGGCTCCACGTTGCAGCAGCAGGTTTGGGCTGTCCTCCGCGCCGCGGGGGA